CAGACGCTCGAATATATATGTTTGTACAGTGGTATATAGGTAGACAATTTAAGGGAAAGGGAAGCGATCTCACGAGCAGAGAACGTAGAAGGCCGAAAGAGAGACGGAAGGAGAGGCTGACGTTGGTGCCCCTGCCAACCCTCGGAGCGTCGGCAGCGAGAGGTCACGAGAGGTCATGCAATTGCTATCCCAACGTTTTATTTCTCCCTCTCCCCTTTGCCGCACCCGCCCCTCTTTCTCATTTTTAGCGGCAGGAGCGGCAGGAGCAGCAGGAACAACGGCAACAATACCAGCAGCGGTGGCGATAACTATGGCGGAAATGGCAAAACCGGCAACAATAACGGCAACATTATCAACACCGTAAGCAACAACGGCAACAGCATCACCATCACCACAAATATCGACAATAGTCATAGTAGTAGTGGTAATAGTAGTAGTAGCAGTAGTAGTAGTAGTAGTAGTAGTAGTAGTAGTGATATAGTAGTAGTTGTAGTAGTAGTAGTAGTAGTAGTAGTAGTAGTAGTAGTAGTAGTAGTAGTAGTAGTAGTAGTAGTAGTAGTAGTAGTAGTAGTAGTAGTAGTAGTAGTAGTAGTAGTAGTAGTAGTAGTAGTAGTAGTAGTAGTAGTAGTAGTAGTAGTAGTAGTAGTAGTAGTAGTAGTAGTAGTAGTAGTAGTAGTAGTAGTAGTAGTAGTAGTAGTAGTAGTAGTAGTAGTAGTAGTAGTAGTAGTAGTAGTAGTAGTAGTAGTAGTAGTAGTAGTAGTAGTAGTAGTAGTAGTAGTAGTAGTAGTAGTAGTAGTAGTAGTAGTAGTAGTAGTAGTAGTAGTAGTAGTAGTAGTAGTAGTAGTAGTAGTAGTAGTAGTAGTAGTAGTAGTAGTAGTAGTAGTAGTAGTAGTAGTAGTAGTAGTAGTAGTAGTAGTAGTAGTAGTAGTAGTAGTAGTAGTAGTAGTAGTAGTAGTAGTAGTAGTAGTAGTAGTAGTAGTAGTAGTAGTAGTAGTAGTAGTAGTAGTAGTTGTAGTAGCAGCAGTAGTAGCAGTAGTAGCAGTAGTAGTAATAGTAGTAACAGAAGCGGTAGCGGCGGTCGCAGCGGCAATGCATTGGGGGCGTCGGCGGTAGCTGGGGGCCGATCGATGTGGCGAGACACCGGGCGTCGCACTTTCCACTAACTACTCCACTCGCTCCGGCCGTGCTCGGCTTACGCAGCTCCACTCACCCTCGCCCGCGCATATCCCCGTGTGCGTTAGTCTGTGAGCGCCAGAGAGTGGTCCTGTGTGCGCGGCTCCCGCCCTCGTCCCCCTATTCCCCATCGCCCCATCCTCACCCCTAAGCGGCCCTCGTCGTCATCTCGGGGTATTGGTACACACAAGCTCCCGTCGCATCTCCACAACCGATAGACGAATCTGTGCATGTGGGTGAGCACACTACTACATTGAGATCCTATCTGGCGCTCTGCCGGTTTTCCAGACTGGAAGAAAGTCCTTACTCTCCACAGCCGAAGAAAAAGTCTCTTCCCCCGTCTTCCACCGCCGAGCCTTGCCGTTTCTTTCTTTACACAAGCCCAACATTAGATTAGGCGGCGGCGTAAGAAGGAAAAAGAGTTAGATACATCGAAGTGGATAAGAATTTGAGAAAAAACGGAGAAAAATCAAGGATTGCTTGGGTTGCGCGTATTGGAATAGAGCTAAAAAAAAAAAATGGAGATGCCGGTCGGGCATATGCGGAGTCCTGTTACATGCGTGGGCGTTTGCGGAGAGCTGATAAAAGCGAACGGAGGCACTTATTATTGACGGATAGAGATGATGGATGCGCGGAATAATTCGGAGGAGGGAAGAAGAAAAATAAAGCAAGAATGAGGATAAAGCAAATGAAACGTTGGAGGACCTCGGTAGGGGAGAATTTGAATAAAGCTGCAGCGTCGGCGTTGGCGGTGGTAGCAGCGGCGGCGGCGGCGGCGGCGGCGGCGGCAACCTACCATTACTATGCGCCAGCAGCGCTACTACTACGGCAGTCCGTTAATACTCGGCTCGTTACTACTGGCAGCTTCTCGCCGCCTACGCTCGCCCTTCCTCCCTCTCGCGTACTCTACCTCCTCACACACTCTCTCTCTCTCTCTCTCTCTCTCTCTGTCTCTCTCTCACGTACGCGAGTGCCTACCCCAACCTTCGCCTGCTCCCCGGCATCAATGAAAATGACGTCATCGCCGAGCGGGCAAAAAGCGTACGTTTTAATTATCCGTGGGCGAAGCTGAGTAGGGGTAGCGGCCTATTTCGCGCCCTTTGACACATCAGCCTTTGGCACGGGATACTGCTCCCGTTGCCGCTTATCCCGTGAAACTTTGTCGACACTTGCGGTAATAGTGGCGTCGGCGACTCTCTTTGGCTCCGAGTTCCGTTATTCTTTGTATAAACGGCGGCTTCGGATGAAAGGGCGCGACGACATCGTGCAGCCCCGCGACCAGGAGTCGCTAGTGGCTCAGCGGGGCCCACGAGTAGTGTGCCACTCGAGGGTGCCACCAGACGTTATTTACTTTTACCCTGAGATTCGACAGCACCTCGCCTTTTTAACCCACATACGCTTTTCAATGCCATTATTCGAGCTCATCGACTCACTGCACTTTAACTCTGCCGTCGAGTGTACTCTGAAGGAAAAAAGAAAGAAGAGAACTCCGCGCTACTTTGCCCTACGAGCGGCCCACAAAAGAAAACTGATACTCGCAATTTTTGCCGAGGCTGGGCTTTTGAGGTCAGCATTGGCCAAACCCATTATGGATTCGTCGCCGAACTTTTAGCCGCCTTTGAGCTCCTCTCCATATCCTAGCGAATTTCATTATTTTCCCATTCGTCCTACTCCTCGTCCATCCAATTCGTTATTATATCGCTCGTATAATTATTCGCTTATCGATTTCAATGCGATGTGATAAAAACGTTGCGATAAAAAAGATTATAAAGAAATTTAAGCAATATTTGGAGATTCCACGTAAAGCGCTTCCAACATCTAAATGAGATTCGTTTTCATTTTTTTTTTCTTCTTCTTTGTCTTTCATTTTACGATTTCTCTAATTGCCAGGCTCATTGTTGCACTCTTCGATATCGCAAACACTCGCCAGTATTATAATCGAAAAGAAAATTCGAAATTGACGGATGACAAAATAAACAAAATAAATCAACGTATTCTTTCGTCTCGCTAGCTTCGACGAGAAGTTGAGTAAACTTGACGAAGATCATCAGCCTGATAATGTGCGTGATTAATGATGTCAGTCGACTTCACAAGTGCAACAATTGCTCGAAACATCACGAGGAGCATTATATGTGCACCAACTAAATACATTAAATAAATAATCAAGCGTTCCGTGCCATGACGATGTGTATTTATCTAAACTTCAAAATACTCTCGAAATCGATTTATATTCGATATAGGAAATTCCTTTAACCTGCATTATTACATTATAAGTTAATGTTTAATGTAGTCTTAATGGTAATTACATATTGCCAAATAAAATTTCATCATGTCAAATCTCATCACGTCCCTAACATAATAATAGGCGAATTATTTTCCTTTTAAATACGAGACGTTAAATAATCGACGTAACGGATTAATGACATTAAGCGCAAAAAAAAAAAAAAAAAACAAAAGCGTAAATAAAATAAATAATAAAAGGACAAATATATGCGATAATATTATTATGTGTTTATGTGTCGACTGATGCAGTGGGAATTTTTTTAAATATTACGTTAAATTCAATTACGTCGAACGATCATGAATAATGAAATAATACGCGAGCAAAAAGGCAATTATTGCTTTTGAATAAAAAAACTTTCTTTACGGTCAATAATTTTTTTTTATAATTCTTATAATAATAATAATAATAATAATAATAATATAATGTAAGGTCATCATTACTACATTTAGCGGAGAAGAATTTTATTGACATTTATAATTAATGATGCTTGTCTAGTAAAGTAGTTGAATTAAAGCTTTTATTTACATATTTATAAAGCAATCCTATTTCCAGTTTATATTATCAACAATTGTAAATTTTTTAATGGATAAATAATTTATCGCAACAAGTGGTATTACGATAAATCATACAATTTCTGTTGCAAGTCCAAAGAAAACATGAAATTAATGGAATACAAAGACGCAGTAAAAACATATTACGCTGACATTTTTCTTTATTTATTTTTTTTTTTTTTTGTTTTTTTTTTTTTTTTTTTTTTTTTTTTTTTTTTTTTTTTTTGTTTGCTTGTTTTGTAGTCTTTTTCGTTTTTATACAAAGTGTATAATTTCACTTGAGAAAAGGAGGAAATTAATTTTTCACGGAAGCGTAATTTTTGCAGTAATTGTTACAGCAACAAATTCCAAATTCCAAATTCCAAATTCACAAATATGTTACGATAAAATGTTCGCGGAGCCCCAAACGTTCATTATCATCCCATTCGATTCTAACGTTAATTGAGCCTCGGATCACCGGGCATATATAGCAATGCGCATTGTCATAGGTAATACGAAATTATTATTATTATCGTAGACGTGTTAGAGTTTAAAAGTCCAAACGGCCAGAGAATAAGAGAAATCAGGCTCGTACGCTCGTGAATTGAAATATGTTCAGCGTTAGAAATACATCGTCTCAGTGCAAATAAAAACTCCTTCGATACTCGTTGTTAATGAATGGCTTATTATAAATCGTATTCCCCTTTGGTTTATGAATCCATTGGATTTACAACATAATAAATAGCACTGCACTCCTAAGCGCCCAAAATTACGGCGATAGCTGGATTGGAAAATCGAAATGCCGAAATGGCAAAGTTCTAGTGATCAATCGTCGGCCAATAATCTTCAAAACTATTACTTTAGCCGTTATTATTGTTTCGGACAATTGCCCATTGCATTTACCTACTGCTCCTGAGCAAAATAATACGCTTCTCGCGAGCGATGCGTTCGAAATAAATTATCCCATGCATGGCTTTAGTATCCAGTTAAAAATTAATACTTTAAGTACTCACTGAAGTCAATGAGCAGTCGACCGTAACCTTGGCGCTGATAGGGCGGTAGGGTAAGTATACACGAAACGTTGTAGTTGTTATTGGAACTTTTTTCCTGGAACAGATGGAGAAAAAAAAAAGAAATGTTTATTTTGAGCGGAGGCATATGACATTTGGGATGAGTTTATTATCGAAGCTTTCATGCGGCGCTCGTAGTCGTCGCGAACGTTAAATAAATGCCTGCAATACATATCTAATCGGTGTGCTTTGCAATAGTTTATAATCAATGTTGAAATATTAATTGCTTTGGGCGTTCAAGTACACTCATTCATAAAAAGTATGGATACGGGGATATAAGTTTGCCCGAAGGGAGGATAAAGTTTACGATCATTTAGGCATTCATTCCGTTCATATCGACTGATTGCTAATGTTAAATAACGCCAATATATATTTACAATTTTTCAACAGCAATGATTAAAAGTCAATGACGATGGGCAAATTTTATGTAACATGCGTTGATGTGTATTGAAATGATAGTAATGCATGCGTTAAAATTATCTATTAAAATAGAAAACAAAACGAAACAACAGTAATGAAAATGGGGGCACAAATGGAATAAAAAAAAAAAAAAAAAAAAAAAAAAAAAAAAAAAAAGTAAGAGAAAAAAAGTGGTAAATTTACGACTATAAATAGTAAAGTCGTATCGATCTAATACAAATTTAAAACCATAAATATTCAATTTGTCAATATAGAGCAGCCCGAGTCGTATAATACGAACAGAACAGATAAAAACAGATCAATTCGTAAAAAAAATTTTCAAAGTCTTACAAGAATTACTTTCCATAATTACGCGATTTAAAATTATAATTCTTGCCTTACTTCGAAGTAATTCTGAAATAACACAATTGCAAGTTAATTATATCGTGTAAAAAAGGAAAGAAAAAATAAATTGATGACTCGTCTGCCTCGATCTTTATCAACAAGGTAACAATTTTCAGATTCGCTTCTTCAAGACCGAATCTCCTTCTCTCTTTCTCACCCGCCTCTTCGCTACCGTCTCCTTTTATTCTTTTAAGAAAAGGTTGCTATTCGCAGCACACCCGGTATTTCCGGCGACGCATCAAGAAGAGAGAGAGAGAGAGAGAGAGAGAGAGAGAGAGAGAGAGAGAGAGA